GAGGAAGAGAGGAAGAACAAGAAAGAGGAATCACATACAGCACACATAATTCATGATTAATATATTATGACAGACAGACAGGCAGAAACCGAGCGAGAAATGGAGAATTTAAACAGTTGATCGCACAGTATACACACTGACACTTACCGCCGAGGTTGAACGTGACAGCAAAAGCTTGAAGATGGGCGCGGGTTGGGGGGTGGGTGGGGTGGGGGGTAGGATGGAGAGGGGAAGGCCTTAGACACCACCTGGCTACACCTTGAAGACACTCACAAGCCACACACGGCGAGGGTTTAGGGCGTCCCATAACATACACACCTTTCGTTTGTTCTTAAATGTTTTCGCTCTGTCCCGGGGTCGATATCGCGTCAGAACGTTTGTGAGGTTGAAAACGTTGAAACGTTTGTGAGGATGAAACGTTTGTGAGGTTGATTAATTGCAAGGATTTGATAGATGTTCGTTCATGTGGGGACAGACATGCAGCCATAAATAGAGGATGGCGGGTACACATGTTAATGCACGCACGTGTGAAATTATTCGTAATCTAAATGAGATTAGAGAGAAGAGGGGAGGGTGGATGGGAGGGAGGGAGAGAGAGAGAGAGGGAAGTGGAAAGGAAAGGAAGGTAGGTAGGGTGGGAGGAGGTAGGGTGGGAGGGAGGGAGGGAGGGAGGGGGCAGGGGTAGTGGGATGGTAGGGAGAGAGAAGAAGGAGAGAGGGGAGATAGAGTGAGGGTGGGGGAGGAAGGAAGGAAGAAAAGAGAGAAGGAGGGATGAGGGAGGTGTAGGGAGGTGGAAAGGAAGGACGGAAGGTAGGTAGGGAGGAAGGGAGGGAGGCAGGGGTAGTGGGATGGTAGGGAGAGAGGGAGGGAGAGAGTGAGGGTGGGGAAGGAAGGAAGGAAGGAAGAAAGAGGGAAGGAGGGAGGAGGGAGGAGGTAGAAAGGGAGAAGGAAGAAGGAAGGTAGATAGGTAGAGGAGAGAGAGAGAGAGAGAGAGAGAGGAGGGAGGAGAGAGTGAGGGATGGAAAGGAAATAAGGAAGGAAGAAAAGAGAGAGAGGGAGGGAGAGAGAGAAAGAAAAAAAAGAAAGTAAGAGAAGTTATCTCATTCTCATGTCGCTTGAAGCTAATCTAACGTCGTCAGCAGTGTCTTCAAAGATGATTACGTTATATGTATCTATCTTTTCCTTCATCCCCCCTTTTTATCATCTTCCTCGTGTTCTTCTTCATTCCCTTTTATTCTGTAACATCATCATAGCGGAGCATGTCATCTTAAAGAGGGGCTTCATGTCTCTTGTACCTGGGGTGGGGATGGGGTGGGAGGGGGGTCTCATAATAGAAACATTTGGTTTTGTATTATCTTTGTCGTGTGTGTGTGTGTGTGTGTGTGTGTGTGTGTGTTGTGTGTGTGTGTGTGTGTGTGTGTGGGCTGGATGTTTGCGTTCATTGTCCTTTTAACTCTTTTTATCTCTTTTTTTATTTCTTTTTAGTGTTATCATGTTTTTTGTCACGTCATTACCCTTCTGGGCCAAGATTGTAATAGTGTTTTCGGGTTGAGGCTCGTTTTATTACCCCCCCCTCCCCCCGCCTCTCATCTCTCTCTCTCTCTTCGCTCTCCTCTCTCTATCTCTTCTCTCTCTCTCTCTCTCTTCTCTCTCTTCTTCTCTCTCTCTCTCTCTCTCCTCTCCCTCTCCTCTCTCTACTTTTTCCCTTCCCTCCTCCTCTTCTTCTTCTTCTTCTTCTTCTTCTTCTTCTTCTCTTCTTTCTTCTTCTCTTCTTTCTCTTCTTCTTCTCTTCCTCCTCCTCCTCTCTCCTCCTCCTCCTCCTCCTCTCTCCCTCTCTCTCTCTCTCCTCCCTTCCGTTCTTTTAATATAAAAAAGTTACTCTGGTTTCGATGTTCGTTTATAAAGAATTATTGAGTATTATTTACATTTTTTCTTGCAATGCGTAGTTTGTGCACTGCAGACGCTGCCAATAAGTAATCAACTCTTAGTAGAAATGATATGAATTTCAAAATATATAAAGAGATTAATTGATAATAGTAAAAGGATGGGGAAAAGATAGATTAATTGATAATAGTAAAAGGATGGGGAAAAGACAAAGGGAGGGAAAAGAAAACAGATTATAAGTAATTTTCATTTTCATTTTCATTTTTTTTTTACCTGTAATATTTTTTTTCTTTTTTTTTATCGTACCTCTTTTTCTTCGAGTTTATGGAACGACCTTTTTTTATCATATATTCCACTCCTTTTAGATTTTCATTTGCATAAAACTTTTTTGTGGAGGGAAGTTAACGCCGTTCATTAAAAAAAAAAAGAAAAGAAAAGAAAAAGAAAAAAGAAAAAAAAAACACCGTGAAAATAATCGCCTTGGGAAATAACGCATATTATTTGTTATGCTATTTAGTAATTATCGGTTCTTGTCGTTAATTGGAATCTTGGGGATGGGGGAGGAGGAGGAGGAGGGGGAGAGAGAGAGAGGGAAGGAGAGAGAGAGAAGAAAAAAACTTAGAAGTTAATGGAAGAGTTAATAACTGACCGCAAATGAGGGTTATTCTTTAATGATGACTTTCATGACTTTTCGACTTGTCTTGACCTCGTATATAACCATCGTTGCATTGAATTGCTTTTGCTCTCTTTAGTCCCTATCTCCTGTTTCCTCTTCTCTTCTCTCCATCCCTTCGTATTCCTTACCTTTCTTGCCTTACATTTATCACCTTTTTATTTATTTTCTTTCAATTCTTTTGAGATTATCATCTCCCTCCCTCCCCCTTCCTTACACCCTCTCCCATGCACCTCCCACCTCCTTCTCCTCTCTCTTCATCTCCCCATTACATTCTTCTGTTTCCCCTTCTTCTTTCCCTTCTCCCATTCTTTTCCCTTTCTTTATGCCTTCTCACGCTCCTCCCCTTCCCCTCTCCCACCTCCTCTTCCTCCTCCTTCCCCTCTCTCACCTTCTTTTCTCCTACCTCCCCCTTCCTCCCTCTCCCACCCTCCCGTCTCTCTCCTTTTCCTTCTTTCGCCCTTCTTTCTCCCCTCTCCCCCTTCCCCCTCTCCATCTCCCACCTCCCGCTTTCCCCTCTCCTCCACTCTCCCCCTTCTCCCACCCCTTCTTTTTCCTCTCTCCCTCCCCCCCTCTCCTCTCCCCCCCTCTCCCACTTCCCGCTTCCCCTTCCCTTCTCCCCACCTTCTTCACTCCCTCCTCCCTCTTCCTACCCCCCTCCCCCCTTCCCCCCTCCCGATCCCCCCCACCCCTCTCCCCTTCCCTTCCCCCAGTGCCCCCCCCCCCCGCCTCTCGCCCGCCCACCCCTCGCTCCCTGGACCACCCACGTGGCCTCCCGAGGTGTTCCAAAACCAACACGAGGTGGTTTAGGGTGGGGAGGGGGGGGAGGGGGAATCACCGTCATAAAAATCACCCTTAATGCCCCAGTGGCCGTTGCCTCGTTCGGTAATTAAGGTTGCTCATTAATGGCCTGGAAGAGGAGGAGGGGGAGGGGAGGAGGGGGAGGGTAGAGGGAGGGGAGGGGTGGGGTTGGGGAGGAGAGGAGAGGGAGAGGAGAGGGATAGGGAGGGGAAAGAAGAGGAGAGATGAGGTGAGGAGATAAGAAGATAGAAGAGAAAAGAAGAAAGAATAAAAGAGAAGAGAAGAGAAGAGGAGAGAAAATGAGAGTGAAGAAGAGAGGAAAGGAAAGGTAGTAGAAAAGAGAGGCGAGGAGACAAGTGAAGGAAAGAGAAATAGAAGAGAGGAGAGGAGAAGGAGAGGAGAGAGAGAGGAAAAAAAGGATTGGGAAATTGTGGGCGGAACGAGAAGAAAAGAGATGGGAGAAGAGAAGAGAGAAGGGGGAATAAGCAAAGAGAAGGATAAGGCTTATTCGAAGGAAGGAGAGGATGGATAAAAAGGAGGCTGAGAAGGGGGCGTGGTCTCAGAGTAGCAGGCCGAGAGAAGGGCATAACCTGTTGAAAAAGGGGGCGTGGCTTACAAATAGAAGTTTTCTCTCTCTCTCTCTCTGCCTCTCTGCCTCTCTCTCTCTCTCTCTCTCTCTGCTCTCTCTCCTCTCTGCCTCTCTCTTCCTTCTCTCTCTCTCTCTCTCTCTCTCTCTCTCTCTCTCTCTCTCTCTCTCTCTCTCTCTCTCTCTCTCTCTCTCTCTCTCTCTCTCTCTCTCTCTCTCTTCTCTCTCTCTCTCTCTCTCTCTCTCTCTCTCTCTCTCTCCTCTTCTCTCTCTCTCTCTCTCTCTCTCTCTCTCTCTCTCTCTCTCTCTCTCTCTCTCTCTCTGCTAACCAATAGCCTTGAGATCACAGAGAAAAAGTTGAGAAGCAGTGTCAGCAGGAAAAAACTACCTGGTGAGCAAAGGTCAGGGTGATGATGGTGATGATGGCGATGATGATGATGGTGGTGGTGATGATGATGATGGTGATGATGGTGAATGCGATGATGATGATGATGAAGATGATGGCGATGATGATGATGATGATGATGGTGGATGGTGGTGGTGATGATGAAGATGATGGCGATGATGTGATGGTGGGGGGTGATGATGATGATGATGATGATGATGATGACCGCGTTGGTATGGCGGTGTGATGACAGTGGTGGTAACTGAAGTAACATGTGTGCAGTGACTTTGAAGTGATGCATATGCTTAAAGTGAGTGAAGTGATGCATATGCTGAGAGTGAGTGAAGTGTCGTAGTGACGAGAAGAGTGAGAGTGATAAGTGATGATAGTGACGGTGTCGGGAATGTCGCTTGGGAAATGTGGCTGAAGTGATAGGCGTGGCGAAAGCGACGGTGACTGAAGTGACGCGCAAGGTTGGGCGGTGACTGACATGACGTGTGCGAAGAGAAGGTGAGAAAAGAAGAAGTAGAAGAAAAACGGAAAACGAAAGAAAAGCCAATAAAAGAAATAAAGAAATAAAACAAGAACACGAAGAAAAATTATAATAATTATAATAAAAAAAACAAGAACAAAGAAAATAAGCTAAAAAAAAAGAACAAGTACACGAAGAA